CAGCTGTGTTCTTCACCTAAACACACTCCCCACTGACTGCCTCAGGCTCTTAAAATCACTTACTTTGCTTACCCAGCTCCAAGGCCATGTCCTCAAAATCTCACATTTCCATGGAGTAAAATTACACGGATCCTGCAGCCCATCTAAATTCACCTTCCTCCACATTTCCACCAATCTGCAAACTTTGAGAAGTGAATTCTGTTTAATTGCAGTGGCCACCTTCTCCACCTTGTCCTTGGGCAACTTCACTCCCCACTTCACCTTTCCAGAACCTTCCCATTGGGTGGATTCCACAAACACACCCTTACTTGTGCCCCCTGGCAAACTCCTTCCCCCTGTAAAATTGTGGTAAATCATCTCCTGTTGGACTAAACTCCTTGGGGCAGCTGTGACCCTATGTGACAGACTACTACCCCACATGGTTTCCTAGGGTTCGAACCATCAATCCTTTGCTTAGCAACCTAGCACTTAACCACTGGGCCACCAGGGCTCCTGTGGGCGAGCACAGAGTACACCACCATCTGCACATCAGCCCTCTGAGCCTTAAAATTGGACACGACCTTGTGAGGCAGGTGACATCACTTCTATTTCACAGAGAAAAGTAGCGAGGTCTGACATCATGCAGACTGCTCTGCCCTTTATCGTATCAGAGATACACTTGCCAGTTTCTGTGACCTTTATTGTCTGGTCATATAGAGTCGTATGAAATTTAATTTTTATGTAGCTAATCTGTCTTTTCCCTTCTGGTTTATAATATTGCTCTGGGATTTAAATGTTTTTCCCCAGCCTGACTTATATTCGTCTAAATTAAAATGAAACAAAAAGGTTTTAATTTCATTTAACTACCAAAGATTTCACTTTACTTGGGTCCACAATCAACACCCTTGGAAGCAGCAGTCAAGAAATCAGTAGTACTGCATTGGGCAAATCTGCAAAAGACCTCTTTCAAGTGCTAAAGAGCAAAGATGTCCCTCTGAAGACAGGTGCACCTGACCCAAGCGATGGTATTTTCAATGGCCCCACATGCATGTGAGAGCTGGACAATGAACAAGGAAGACCGAAGAAGAGTGGATGCTTTTGAGTTGTGGTGTTGACCAAGAATACTAAAGTACCATGGACTGCTAGAAGAACAAATAAATCTGTCCTGGAACAAGTGCAGCTGGAATGTTCCTTGGAGGTGAGAATGGCCAGTCATACTGTTGTTGTTGTTATGTACCAGCGAGTCGGACCCGATTCACAGTGACCCCTCCTTGGGTTTCTCAGGCGGCATCACTATGGAAGTAGATTGCCCAACCTTCCTTCTGAGAAGTCATACTGTTAGAAGGGGCCAATTCCCTGAAGAAGAATATTATGCTGGGTAAAATGGAGGGTCAGCGAAAAAGGGGAAGGCCCTCAACAAGATGGACAGACACGGTGACTGCAACGATGGGCTCTAGCATAACAAGGGCTGTGAGGATGGTGCACAACTGGGCAGCGTTCCATTCTACTGTACACAGGTTCGCTATGAGCCAGAGCCGACTCGAGGGCACCTAACAACGACGACAATCAAATCTGTTAAGAATGTGTATGGGTGTTGATGCGAAGATCTACCAGCCTGGCCCAGTAGCTTCCCTAATGCCCCTGCAACGTTTACTTTCTTCCCCACTGGTTTATGATGCTTGGGTTAACATATCATTTATTTATCATTAAAACACTCATTTCAAGCATTTCTTTCTTGTAAAGACTACAGGAAATCTACAAGTTCTGAAAAACAGAATTACATAAAAATTACCAGCCACTTCTAACTCCATGTAGCAATGACAACATTCCTGGTATTCACTGTATGTACAAATACACACCGTCTACATGGTGTATATACATCCTCAGAAAGGCCTAGCAGCTATAATCTGTTCCTGGGGAGTTTATTCTGTTTCACTCTCTTTCTTTAAGATCAGGAGAAGCCTAATGTCTGACTTAAAATTTTGGTTTTTTTAGACTCTACACAGTCTTGTGTACTTCACTTCTCCCCATCACAGCTTTCAATGGATACACCAGTCAATGTCATTTACCTCTCGGTGACTTCATGGAAAGTGACCAGCGGGTGAGAGTTACTTTTTCGATGCAAATTTGCTTTTTCTGATTAGTAACACAGCTTGGTGAGGAACACTTGGAAAACCCAGAAAATCCTAAACAAGATACTCATGCTGTATATATATTTAAAACAAAATCTGTACTGGACTCCGTTACACAGGATTAGAACACAGGAAGGTGACGGGTATGTTAACCTGCCTCTTTGTGGACTGAACATTCCGCAGTTGCACGTACTCTTCTCCTACATACACCTCCTACTGGGACCCTGGGGCAAAATTTCCAGAGGTGGAAACCCTGGGTCAAAAGGTAAGAACATCTAAGACGCCTCTGGTGCACCTGTCAAGGTAGATAAAGCTGTCCCAGCTCGTGTGGACCATTTCTAGTGGTGGGAAGGCTCACCAGCCCCTGCATTCTATGGAGGAGCTTCTTCACCGTCAGCCTGGATGAGTGCGGCCCACCAGAAGACACGTGTCCTTGACGATGACTCACTGGGGACCCAACGGTGGTGTCAGGATATTTTAATGTGATTGCAATAAGAAGGGGCCACTCAGAGTTAACCGATTCTTAAGAGCCAACAAAAGTGTGTTGGACACAGGATGCTAAGTACAGCAAGGGAAGTAATTTTTTTTTTAAATGGAAGTTCTCTCTAGACACGGTCTGGCTGGCTGGCTGGGGCTAGCATGATACCCTTTCTGGCAGAGAATCAAGCAGCTGAGGTCAGAAAACAAGTCAGTAGTAAACACCCCAGCCCATGCGCCTCAGCCCTGACTCTGGGCACCTCGGGCCCACAGAGAGCATCTGCCACTCCGACTTCCTGCAAGCCTAGGTGGACAAGAAGCTGGCTTTGTCCTCAGAGACTAAACCCCTTGCAGGGCAAGGCAGTAGGGGCGGCAGCGGGGGCTTCGTGCTAATGATTCATCATATTTATCAACCTTTGGAAAGACCAAATCATGGGACATTTTTGGCTATAATCACTAAAATGCCATGAGATAATGGTTTAGTGCAAACAGCGGAGCTGGCCAGGGCTATGCAATCGATGAACCCTGAACAACTTCTGCTGGAATAAAAGTCACAGCCAAGCCAGGAAAATTTTTAATTATACTTCCACTGAAGAAAAAAAATATTCTCAAAGGTGTTCCAGGAGTCAGTGCACTGTGACCGTGATGGGGGCTGTGCAGGGGCCTCACTGTCCTCTACTCTCTACGGGATTATCATCTCCCTTCCAAGGTAAGAAATGAGGAGGAGACCTGCCCACGGCCCACCCCGGCAAGGGGAGGCAGGACCACAGCTCTGCTCCAGCCACCTGCCCGACTTGCACATCTGCCCAAGCCACACACACTTCCTTTGTACTCACCCTCAGAGGGGAAAACGTTACCTGGCAAGTTCCGCTGAGTCAGAAAAGCTGCACTGGGCAGAGAAGAGCAGGCTGCCTCAGAGAGAGCTGGGTGTGAAATAAACACGGAGACCACTTTGTAATCAAGGATGTTTATCTTTGAAAATGGAAGCAAGTGTTTTGACAAAGTAACAAGGCCGCTCTATAAGAGCCGATCTAGGGTTGATTCGCTGGTTCTCCTCTGGGACAGCACGGCTTTAAAGAGAAAAAAAACAAAAACAAAAAACACAAGACAAAACAAGGGAAACAGAATCCACAATGCTTCAGGCACCAATCCGAGCCTGGCTGGGCACCCGTCCATTAAGTAAGTCACAGGCTGCAAACTAAGACCAGGGTGACTTTCCTCGCCCTCCTTCTCTTCAAACCACATTCCTCACGGCCTGTCACCACCATTAACAACAATTCCATTTACTTACTTAATTTATATCAAAACCTTACAACATTTCTGAATCTTAATCACGAAGGTCCTCCGTAGATTATATTGATAAAGACACACGTAAAGTTTGAATAGAAGTCACTATAATTATTGTTTGCTTCACATCTCATTATCCACTTTAATATTAAAAACACACACATACACACGCACAACCACATCAAACATTCAGATGCCCTGAAATGGTGGAGACAGCAATCCCAGGACTAGTTAAGCACAGGGTAGCTTTTCCACACGGACGTGAACTCCAGCTCTGCTGCCTGCCGTGCTGACCCACAGCCACGACACCCAGCTCCTTCCCGATCCCTGTACAGACACTGCCAGCCAGCCCTGTCCCCACAGCAGCACGAGCATGTGCGAGAGTCCCCTCTGTGGTCCCAGTGGCACTAGACATTTCTTGTTCAATCACTCAGCCCTCCCCAAAGAGAGGGGCCTTGTATCTTGTTTCTGAAGCATGCAAAAGGAGAAAGCTGGAAGCCAGTGGGGAGTTTAGCTGACCCAGGAACGGGACAGGTGGCCACAGCACAGCCTCTGGCCCCCCGGCCTGGGGGCCTCGAAGCTCTGACAGCCTCTGGGAGAGCTGGAGAGGCAGCACACGTTGTGCAGCAAGCTCACAGGGACATGTCTTGCTTCATTCTACACCCTTCTCCCTCGTCTCAATATTCCACAGCACACTCTGGCCTCATCTAGCTGAAGGTGGCGTGGGGCTGGAAGGCAGGCAAAGGAACACCTGCAGGGAGCCCTGAGAGAGGACGCTGCACATGTGAGGGGGGGCAGCGAGCAGAGAGCTCTGCGGGGGAGGGAGGGCGAGAGGGCAATGAGCAGAGAGCTCTGCGGGGGGAGGGAGGGGGAGGGGACAGCACAGGGACCAGCACAGCACGATAGCCCTGGGCAAATGTGCCCCTCAAGGTTCCTTAGTTTCGAGTTTCCCCACTGTACTCAAGAGCTAGCCAAGCTCTGAGACGGGCAGGAAGGACACTGGACACCATGCTGGGTGTAGTCCTGGGCACCCGTGTCAAGTACTGACCAGAGCCTGAAACAGGACACCTAACGTGATGAAGGCAACTGTTACGTGGACAACAAAACTGCAGAAACACGTGCTAATTTGGGCTAGATTATAATCATCTGAAGTACAGGATCACCAAGAAGCAGAATTCCACTCCGGTACAACCACCCAATTTCCAGAAAAGAAAAAGCCTAGAAAGGAACAGAGAGGATGTGAGCTTTTTGCTCAGAAGACTCAGTGACCTGCAGGGTGGCGTCACGAGGCCCTGTGAATTCTCAAGTCTTCCTTCTGCACCGGCAGGAGGGTGACCGCGTTTGTGCTGCCACGGAGCCAGCACGGCTTGGCCACTGCTCTGACTGTTCCCCAAGAACGTCTATACAAAATAGCATCTTATCTTCATCTCCTTTATAAACATACACAGTGCTGTCCCTTTCAAATTAAGGAAAAAAGAAAACCACACACAAATACTGCAAAGTAGCAAAATACAAAGGGGGGGAAAAGCTACTTTTGGTTTTGGCAACATTAAAAAAAAAGAAAGAAAGGAAGAAAGAAATACAAAAAGCAGTGTGGCATTGGTCCCTGTTCGTAAAAAAAGGTACTCGGGCATGACACTGAATCAGACTTGGTTTGTTTTCTAAAATTCAGGGTATCTGGGATTTTTTTCAAAGTAGCACTTTTGTCTTTTAAAAGTTCAACGAGTCACGTAACACTTAAAACATCAAAAAAGCTTTTGGAAAAAAGCTCAGCTTCTCAATCACGTTTTGTTTCTGCAAATTGGGGAGACGGGTTGGGCTCTCACTGGAATGTGGCTTATCGCTGGTCGACAGATGTGAGCTGCGTGTCTCCACTGCCAGTGCCGCCCCGTCCCTCTCAAGGACCACACCAACAACCAGCTGCCAAGCGCAAGGCCTTGCTCCCGTGTTGGGAGGGTGGTAGGCCCTTCAGGCCGCAATCTTCGCCATCTGCTGCTCTAACTTGGAAATGCGCTCATCTTGATTGCAGATCGTGTCTTTTATAGACTTGATCTCTTTTAAAATCTCATCCAGCTTGGCTTCATTTTGCTAAGAAAACAAACAAAAACGGGGTGCGGATATTGACTTAAAACCAGCAAACCAGTTCAACACAGTGCAGAATTTATACAGCATACATGGAAGTTTCTATCTAGAAATGGCAACATTTACTGCATCTGAAAGAACTAAAAAAACACAAACAAAAACATAAACAAACCCCGCTATATCTGGTCCCTTCATGGATATGATTGATGCTAGTCAATCCCTGTGAACGCCCACAGCAAACGCTGCGTCGCTGCGTTACTGCTGGTCCTGTGCCTGTGTCTGGCCCGTAACAGAGGCCTCGGGACCCAGTGAACTGGAGGGCACAGTCCTTGCGGGCTGCCCCGTCCCCAGCCACCTCCCATCACTCGACTCCACCAGGAGGAGTCCTGTTTGAGCAGGGTGAAGGGTGACTCCTTCCAGAGGATGCTGTGCCTATGGGGGTCGGTCCTTCTTGGAAGCGAAGTCCTCACCCCGCCTGCCCGGTCTGTAGCTGACTCTTCTCTTCCCTGCATCTCTGTCCCGGCACCCTCATGATGCGGAAAGCCTGGACCCCAGTCAGAGGCGGCTTTAACCACCCTCCTTGGGGAGACACGGTCACTCCAGTCCTTACCACACTGGCCGTGTCTGCGGTTTTCTGGGGCGCGTGTATCAGGTCGCACTTCCTGTTTGCCGTGGGCTTGCTGTCCAGGACGTTCTTCCTGACCACTTTGAGATCCCTGTTTTTGCCTGGGATGTACCCGTGCTTCAAGGAGATGAGGACGGGGTCTGCATTCTTCCCCTCGAACCACTCTTCCGCTTCCAGCGCAGCTTCCGGCCCCGCTGTGTCGGGATACAGATCGTCTTGGAAAAGGTCAGACTAGGAGAGACATTGTGGGGAAACCCTTAGGTAAGGAAGATGAAATATCTGGGAATTTGTTTTTAATGTGAATTGTCTACGAAACCAGGCACTCACCTTCCTGGGAACAGTCATGATAATGGGCTCACACTTTCTCTCGTGCAGTTTGAAGAATCTTCAAAGGGGAAATAAAGGCAAAGTTGTATGATGTGAAATACGAGGCCCAATAGCAGGGTTCATGCCTGGATCTCCTACAATGCTGCACAGGGGCGCGGAATGCGCCTCTGCCACCACTGCACCTCATCGCCCTGGGGAGGGGGCGCTTTGTGTTCCCGTTTTACCGATGAGCAAACAGAAGCCCAGAGCAACTATGCCGGAAAGCGGCCGACAGTGGACAAGAACCTCGAGTAGAGGCTGAAGCATTACAGAGACAGAGCCCACTTCTCTGGGGGCAGGTCAACTGTGGCAGTAATAATGATGCTGCTGATTCATGAAGGCAGAGTAACATGTCAGCAGACCCGAGACACAAACACTGGCAGCTCAGACAGCATCTGTGGGTCGGATGCCACTTTCAATGGCTGAACGTCTGTAAGCACAAATGCGATTTTTAAAAAGGAAAAGAGAATAAACCCAGGAATTAAAATTTTGGCATCCAAGAAAACCAGATTGTGCATAAAACTCTGCAAGTGTCTCAGACGTGGAAAAAGTAGGAACGGACCACCACGTGCCCTGTACCGTGGAGAAGGAAACACAAATCCAGAGCAGCAAAGGAGTAACACTTTCTATTGCATCGCAGGCCAGGACTAAACAAACCAAGCCAGACCCGCGCGCTCCTCTGTGGCCGCTGGCAGGGCTCTGCCCATTTCCTCCTGTCAGGACAAGGGATAATCAAGAGCTCTCTCTGAAGTTTCCGCAGGAGCGGCAGGAGAGGAGAGCACTGAGGCCAGCCCAGCGGATGGGACCGCAGGACCTGGGGGCAAGGTGTCAGCAGCGGCCTTGGTGCCACCGTAGGGCGGGCTCTGAATCCACCGGTCTCCACGAGAAGAGCCACTGCCACCCAAACACCCGGAGGCAGCGAGACCTGTTTCCATGGGAAACACGCAGCCTCTGGCATTTGAAAACAGACCAGATCTGGGCATGAATCCAGTCAGGTCAGCCTGCTGGTTACAACCATGTCGCCCTGGCATGGCAGCGAAACAGAAGCTGAAAATGGCTGTGGTTGGGAAAGTGCTGTAAACCAGCCATGTTGTAACGAACTGATCCTTTACGCTGGCCGAGTCACAATTTCAACCAGAAAGAGTCACAGGGAACCCAAAAACATCGCAAAAGACTGGCCTAATGAAAACTCTGCCGCCAGCCTGGTGGTAAAAATGCTGACCTGGGTGTGACTTCCAGCTGTGCTGCTATAACCCCTCAACGACTTCCCCAAGCCCCAGGTCCTCATCTATGAAGGAGGGACACAAAGAACGCCTGCCTCACAGGGCTGTTGCACGCAGGGGCCAAGACACAAGAACTGCCCATGAAACCCTAACCAGGAGGTGTCCTGAACTACTGTGTGGTAGGGTCTTGCAAGCGACACATAAAGTAAAGGTCACAGATACTAGACATGATCTTAATGAAGTTCAGTAAAACTGCTTTAGAACCCCATTTGGCTAGTTTGGTTTAAACCACAATTCTGGATCATCTGCGACAGCTTCCCTTCATTCCCCCAGCCAGCAGAGCTGAATGTATTTAAACAACAACAACAACAACAACACTGTGATTAATATTTTTAAAGTCTATAAAAATTCTTTTATTTTTATTTTTAAAGAATTAAATATAATTATTTAATGGTGTGACCAGAAGAACAAACTTGAAAACATGACTGCATAAGCTCCGTGCCACACAGATGTGTGCTATGACCTCATGTCTGATGGTGTCATGTTGATGATTTGATGCCTGCAAATGGCCAGTGGCCACTGAGTATCATTTTGCTGACTGATATGACAGAAAAGGAAGGAGATGGTGGCATGGTGGTTAAAGCATTTGGCTGCTAACCAAGATGATATCAGTTCAAACCCACCAGCCTCTCGGTGGCAAAAAGATGAGGCAGTCTGCTTCCATAAAGATTTACAGCCTTGGAAACCTCACAGGCAGTTCTGTTCTGTCCTACAGGGTCTCTGTGAGTCACAACTGACTCGATGGCAGTGGGTTTATGAGTAAGAAGCCCACTAGCATCATAAAATATAAATTTTCTAAAAATCAAGAATAGCAGAGAGAGGACGCAATCGTGTGACTTGGCTGAACTTCCCAAACAAAGCTAAACCAACACCCTGCTGTTGCTCTTAACTAGTCTAGCTTGGGATCAGTGGAGGCCAGAATGCAATTTATGAAACCCCTTCTCATTTCTGACTGAGGGACAGTCTAGTCACCACTTGTCTTGAGGCGGTACTGGCCACAGGCTCAGCTTGAAGACAAGAGATGAAGGTTTCACTATGCACAAAAGGGAGAGATAGACCTTGGCTACAGCCCTTAACCACTGCACGTAAGTTACATAACCTGAATAAAGAAGAGAGATGTAGCTGGATCACATGATTTTGAAGGGTTCTTTCCTGCTCTAAAAGTCCATGTTTCTAAATACAGGAAGAAAGGAGGCATTAATTCAACACCCACACAAGGCTACAAAGATTGACTCGCACATCCCGTGGATGGCACTTACACCACCGCCCACCACACAGCATGTGGAAGGCACAAACTGCTGTGCACTGCAGCCCCCCCAATTTCTTACCTGGCGATCTCACATTTGTTCACATCCAGTCCCCTCTTGGGCATGTAGCCCATCCCTCTCTGAGGCTCTTTGCTGCTGAATGTGTTGAGGTAGTGGACATATGGGGATTCATCCGTGATCTCAAAGTAGCGGATACTGCTGTCGCCCTGCAAGAAATCAGAGACACGTTTTGAGCTTAATGTGAACAGAAGCATCTGCTTTAAGTGGGTGTCTCTTTCCCCTGTAACTCCAGTATTATCTGGGACCCTCTGCAGTGGCTGATCTTTTTTTTTTTTTTTTGCCTTATCAAGAGGCTTGCCTAAAGCATATGATGATTTCTCTTCTTCGCAGAACAAATCCTCACTTATCAATGGCAGCGTGCCCATGAACAACAGGCCCCCTCAGTCTCCTACGGAAGCAACAACTTTCCTCTGCTGAGCCTAGACGCCAAGTGACAGTCAGGGCAAAGATGTAAATGCCGCTGCCAAATAACTGCATTACAACTCAACTTAAAAAAATAAAGAACCACCATGAGGAGCCCGCAGCGTGCAGTCAGTGACCTGCACTTACTCGCTGGCCAAGTGCAGTGCCAGTCAAAGCCCTGAGGGGCACAGATGCCAGACAATCGAGTGTCGACAACAGTGAGACTAATTCCCAATCAGGAATTTTTTCATGAAGAACTCTTTAACTTGAAAAGGCGGTACCACCTTGGTGTAATATATAAAATTCTATAACTATCTTGCTGAGAATGGCCAGGTACTTTTAGAAATCTGAAGGAGATGCTCTCAAAGTTTAAAAAATTATTACATGGTAACATCACCCTGAGCAGTAACGACAATGCTGTCGGTAGAGGGGATAGACGTGTAAGAAAGAAAACAACACGGATCACTGTTTCTATGACTTAAACAGCTACAGCAATGGACAAGAAGCTGAGCATACTCTTTGTTTTCTGCATACCAAAAATAATTTTCTACCCGATGTTGCTAACATCTGGGTAACCCACTCCTTGTTTGTTTTGACACAGTCTACAGCAGCAAGGTTGAGCCATAGCTGTTGAACAGCTGTTAACACCTGCAATAAAATGACTTGCAAGGAAACAGACAAGAGCTTAGTTTCCAAGTAACTGACCTATGAAAATAGACAGCAGGTCCACAGCATGCTCACCATCTACAACAAGAAGGGAAAAACCACACCAACTGCCACTGCACTTTCATGGCAACATTACCCAGCGAGTGGCTACCCAACAGGTTTGGGAAAATACAGCAATAGTGCCATACTGTTTTTTTTTTTTTTGAAGGAAGAAACATAAATCTTTATTTACAGAAGATGTGATTTTCTACATAGAAAATCCTAAAGAATTCATAAAAAAAAAAACAAACCACTAGAATCATGTGTTTAGCCAAGTCAATAAAAGGTCAATATAAAAAAAACATCCATTATCTTTCTGATATATGAGCAGTGCGTAAGTGGAGATGGATTTTTTTAAATCTTGGTGCAAATGTACATAATGAAGCAGATCTTCCATTCACCATTTAGTACACGGGCAGTTCAGCAACACTGGGTCCCCATTCTTACCATCTCTGCCCACACGGTCTCACCCATGAGAGCTTCTCAGTCCCTTCAAGACCTGTGTTTGAGAGCGACTGCTGCCAATATGGTCTCCGACAGGTAAGTCTTTAAGTAGCACACTGCTCAACATAAACGTTCTCTCCTAGTTGAGCTAAACTCTCACCTGCACAAAATTCTAAGGAATTGAGGTTATCACTTATTAAACCGAAATCATCACCAGCATCATCATCAAGCTACCAACAGTTTAGTTAGGTGGAGATCATAGGTGTGAAAGGTTTTTTGAATCCAGTGTGGAGTCGTCCTGTAATAGCTGTCAGCCTCTAAAATTCTAGCCAAACCACAGAGTTTCAAGCCCAGGGTCCTAACAGTGAACTCCAAGAACAAAAACCCCCAACCCCCGGAGGCTATCTGAGGCCCTTGGACTCTCACAACCACAAAGCACTATTCTCATCACCGGTGCAGGCCATGTGGTCATGAGTACATAAATGGCAAAAGATTTCAGCATTAGATGTGGCAAATGGGTTATGCATCTCTGATACCAATAAAGGAAATCTAAAATCTAAAACCACTGACCTTGCAGCATGCTTGGTGGAAACAAACCACTGGCAGGTCCTCCTGTCCCCCAAAGAGCCCCAAGTATGGGTTTCCCCACCGGCATTTCCTAAGAATCCCATCTAATCCTGCTTCAGTCACCAGTACTGAGTACTGTGTGTTACTGCCATGCAACTGAAGTTACAAAGGTTCCAGCCTCAAGAACCTGACATACAGAGCTCATCTGTCCTTATCTTAAGCTCAAAACATACATGTCCACCATGAGACTAATTGAAACATTAAAATGATACAATGCACTGCCCATCTTCCCGACCTCTGAAGGATAAACCCCTCCTCTTCCAGGAGAAATGTAGTGTCTCTAAAACGGACTCTTTACCTTCCCACATAAGTAAATGATACTAGTGTCAGGATCATAGAACGGCAGCAACACCCCGTTGCTAGTGTCCATTTCGTGAAGAGCAATTGGTTCTTGCATATTTTTCTGGAAAACAAACAAACAAATTTTTAAAGATGAATTATTTACACCATTATACATTCTTTAATGCTTAAGTGAGACATCTTCCTAGACCTCTCATTTCAATCATGAAGTTTGAACAATGCCCATATAATATTTACACATGAAACGTCTAACGGGAATACTACCTGGAACTCCAGCCACTGAAAACACCGTGGCTCGGACAACACAGCCAATGGAGAGCACCAGTGTGACTGTGAAAACAAGGAGAGCGTCCTCCTTGGTGACGGTTTTATTTTTAAAAATATTTTCTTTTGTATTATAAAATAAATAGATGCTCATGGTAGAAACTTTGAAAACTTTTAAGATATAAAGAAAAAAATATTTCATAATCCCACAATCCAGATATAAAGCACTAAGACCAAGGTGGTATACTTCCTTCTCTCTCTCTCACACACACACACACACAAATGGGGACTGCACCATATACACAGTTTAGTCATCCCCCCGCCTTAGGTGATTATGACTATTTTCCCAATCATGACTGTTTGATTTGGACATTTGATCATATTCTTTATAAAACATAACTAAGCGTTTCAATGGACAGGAAGCAAAAATCCCTGTGCCTTCTTCACCCATCAAAGAGCCCCTTCCAGTGCTGGCCAAACCAAAACTGTAAGTATTAGAATGGATAACCAAAACAACAAACTAAGCATATGTGATAGTTGGAGGTGTGTGTCCACTTGGCTGGACCACAGTTCTGTGTGGTTTAAGCTGTTGTGATGTGGTTATTCCCATGATGGGATCAGATGATTATGTCTGAGCAGGCAATCTGCTGAAAGGGAGCTTCCCTAGGGCTGTGGCCTGCTTCTAGTATATCCAAGGACATCCTGGGAAAAGAGACACTCTTCTGCGGATCGGGATTCTGTGGTGCTGCCTACAACTGTCCGTGAGTGAACAGTCCACCATTCGGCCTGGAGATCTTGGATTCGTCATTCGTTGGAGTCAACAGCCGGTGTACTGCCTGCCAGCCTTGAGCTCCACAGCCCCTGTGGGGAAAAGCCTCCAGCATGACGTTTGATCCAGGAACTTTGGACTTGCCAGCTTCTGTAAGTGTGTGAGCCATTTTCCTAAGACAAATTTCTCTCTATATACATATATATATATAAGCTTTACTGGTTTTGTTTCTCCAGAGAACCCAGTCTAACACAGCGTAAAACTCATTTCCCAAGTCTACAACACTGGATTCTTTCCTTTCACATACGACTCCTTGGGTGCACCAGGAATGCATTTTGGAAACACATTTACCAGGAAGTCTCCAAGGAGAACAAGAACTTGACATCCAATTTATGGCAAGCCCAAGTTCAGAGAACTACACTACTATAATCCACTTTCAAACCCAAAAAACCCAAACCCATCGCTGTCCAGTCGGTTCTGACTCATAGCCACCCTACAGGACAGAACAGAACTGCCCCATAGGGTTTCCAAGGCTGTAATCTTTATGGAGTAGGAGCCCCGGTGGCACAGTGGTTAAGCGCTCATCTGCTAACTAAAAGGTTGGTGGTTCAAACCTACCAGCTGCTCCATAGGAGATGGATGTGGTAGCTACTTCTGTAAAGATTTATAGCCTAAGAAACCCTATGGGCAGTTCTACTCTGTTCGATAGGGCTGCTATGAGTTGGAATCGATTTTATGGCAATGGGTTCTGATTTTATTTATTTATTTATTTATTAATCTTTATGGAAGCAGACTGTCGCTGAGCAGATGGTGGGTTCAGATTGCAGACCTTTTGGTTAGCAGCTGAGTGCTTAATCACTGTGCCACCAGGGCTCCTTATTATCCGTCTACTTACAGATGCTAAAGCCCGCTCAGAAAAGAGAAAGTGAAGTGGTGAACACACGGGAGGCTGGGCAGGGGCGTACCGGATTCCAGAGAGCCAGCTGCCGCTCACTCATGCGGCTGAAACCAGTGGTGAAGACATTGCCGTCAGCCAGGAAGATGGCTCTCATGGGCCTTGCTCCTTCGTGTGCCTTCTCCTTCTCCTGGGACAGAGCAGAAGGGCGTGTTACATACATTCAAACTGCATGCAGGAAGATCAAGGGCGAGAGCTCTTATACTGAACCCAACTCCATCCCACATGCCAGTCATGGTACCTGGAAGGGTCAGTGTTAACAGTCCCCTCAACCCCCTTTAGAAATGAGGAAACAAATAGACAGTAAGTGAGCTGTTCCAGTCCCGCAGCTAGTGAATGAGCAAGAGGGCCAGCATTTGGATCAAAGGCCTCACGCCTTCCACCACACCCTGCTGCCGACCCATGCGCTGCGAAGACAGAACACACGAAAGGATGATGCCAAAGGCTTGTTTCTCAAGGGCCTGAAGGCCTGCAGTTTCTGCCAATTTTATAAGAAAGAAGTCCAGTAGCTAAGCCCTTCCTCACTGGTTCAATGAGAATGCATTAGGGCCCACCCTAGGAAAGCTGCTGGTGGAGTTCATGAGCCTGTGCACAGAAAGTGCTTTGCACGGGGCCAGGCAAACGCCAAGTGGTCGATCAGTAAGCCCTCACCGCGGTGGGTGCCTGGCCTGTGAGAAAGAATACTGCTGGAGAACAAGCACAGCTCAGAGAAGGGCAGCCTCGCAGAACGGCTGGAGAGAGGCGTCTGCGCGTCCAATTCCACCCTGACTAAGAGCCCGGGTCTCCAGGCTGTGTCATGGTCTGTATTTTGCTGAGGCCCAGTCTTTGTAGCGGAAATGGCGACACTAAGCTGATGAAGAAACTTGTTGCCTATTTTTAAAATGTTACTTTGCTCTTTGTTGTTGTTGAGAATACACACACAGCAGAACACACACCAATCCAACAACGTTTCCAGGGACAATCCGGGGACCTGCTTCAACTTGTGCAGCCAGTCCGACCTGCCTTGTTTGAACTGTTCTTCCCTCATGCATATAAACACACCGTCCCTAAGCTTCCTATATAAACTTTCGAGTTGCTGTTGTCAATTTGGTTTCATTTAGTGACTTCTTAGAAGAGCCCAACGCTCAAAGCAGACATTCTTCACTAGTGAAGCTAAACCACCGTCTGGAACCTGGTACAGCTGTGTTAGGCACTTAATTTAACAGCCATTTTGGGAGCAGAATGGGGGAATCAACTCATCAACCTCCAGTCCTACACCATGAGCCCAGGAATGCAGCTAACTGAGTTAGCTGATCTAGACTTGTAAATTCTTAAGGAT